TATTTATGTGTGTGTGTGTGTGTGTGTGTGTGTGTGGCCAGCTCAGCCCACCAGGGGGCAGGGCTGGCTGGCATGTGGTGCTGGGGATTGAACCGCGGTCCGGGGGCTTTGCTAAGCTTGTTCTAAGCAGGTGCCTTAGACCACTGAGCCATCTCACCAGCCCTCTTCATCTTCTGAGAGTGAATTTAATTTTTTTCTTTTTCTTTTTTTGCAGTAACGGGGATTGAACTCAGGACCCAACGCATGCCAGGCAGGGGCTTATTCTACTGAACTATCTTCCCAACCCTCTTTCTTTCTTTTTTTTTTTTTTTTAAATTTTATTTATTTATATGTGTGTGTGAGTATGTGTGTGTGTGTGGCCAGCTCAGCCCACCAGGGGGCGGGGCTGGCTGGCATGTGGTGCTGGGGGATTGAACCACGGTCCCTGATGCTTTGCCAAGCTTGTTCTAAACAGGTGCTTTAGACCACTGAGCCATCTCACCAGCCCTCTTTCTTTCTTTTTGACAGGGTCATACTACGTACATAGCCCAAGGCAGGAGGCCTTGAACTTTCGGCAAGCCTCCTGCCTCAGCCTCCCGAGTGCTGGGATGAAAGGTGTGTGCTGCCATGCCCAGCAGGAATTGAATTTTTTTTTTTTTTTTTTTTTTTTTTTTTGCTCCGAATGCCTTCAGGGCAGGTTTGGCTGGCTTGAGTTGTGGGGATGAACCACAGCAACCTGAGCCTGACTGCTTGGTGGAAGCAGCCACTTAAAGAACTGAGCTAAGGGGCAGGCCCCTGGGAATTTAATTTTAGAAAGCAATGAAATTCTAAATGATGGGGCCAGCCAGATAGCTCAGCTGACCCGCTTCGGCAAATGCAGGCACTCATCTCCAGCCCTCAGGGTGCACTGAGCCGGTGACTGAGTTGGGCGTGGCGAAGAGTACCTGTAATCCCAGCACTTGGGAGGCTGAAAACAGGAGGATCATTATGAGTTCAGTCTACCTAGAGAGGCCCTGTAGACCCTGTACTAAATATATATATTTTTTAAAAATCCAAACAGAGTGTAATTACAGAGCCTCAAGCATGTTTTGCCCACAGTGTGGGTACTGGAGTAGAAAGCAAGGGCCCAGAGATTATCTGAGCGCCTGATCTGAATCGGATCCCCAAAGGGACCTTGCCCTTACCCAATCTTCACCGCCACCCAAGACACTCCGACCCCGGCCTGAGCTTCCACACAGCCCAGTTCCTGCTGCCGCTGCAGTTTCGGACCCTTCTCTCCCGTGCCGCACTCTGACCCCATCTGTCCCTGTCCAGAGCTCAGCCTGTGCTAATTCCTGAAGGATTAAAGCAAACAGTCACCTTCCAGGGTGTACAAGATGTGACTCTGCAGTCCTCAGAAGTCACTAGAGGAGATATTTAAGGTCTTACAGACTAAAGTTAGAAGTCCAGTGAGATAGCTCAGTGGACTAAGCGCCTGCTTAGGCAGGTGCCGGCACTGGGCTTCAATCCCCCATACTGCACGCCACACGCACCCCACGAGTGCTGAGCTAGCCGGCCTGGGAGGATCATTATTAGTCCAAACTGGGAGGCCTAGGAGAACCTGTCTCAAAAGAATTTAAGCTGTTTTTCACACATTTTTAGAAATGGCATCTGCAAAATTACATTTCAAAATCTGAAGGGAAAATACTTGGACTGAATAAATGCTGAAAATTCAATCAAGGGGGCTGGGGAGATAGCTCAGTAGAATAAGCACTTGCCTGGCAAGCACAAGGTCCTGAGTTCAATCCCCGGTACCACCACCAAAAAAAAAAAAAAAAAAAAAAAAATCAATCAAATATAGGCCAAAGAGGTAACAACTGCCTCAAATCCCAATGCTGGAAAAAAAAAAAAAATCTAATATAAGCGTTTTTATGAAATTTTAATTCTCCATTGTGTTGGAATCATAGGTGGGTGCTACCATGCCCAGCTATTATTAATACTTTTGGAAAAAATAGAAATGCTTGCAAAATAGTATCCAGTGCCCTACTAGTTGCCAGTATAAAGGTTTATAACCTAGACACCTATAGTCCCAGCTACTCAGGAGGATCTCTGAGCCCAAGACCACCCTGGACGATTTATCGAGACCCTGAATCAAAGACAGTAACAACAACAAAATGGCCGCCACGATGCCCAGGTCCAGGGAAGACTTACACACATGGAAATGTAACTGTCCCAGGAATTATTACAGGTAGGTGTCCCCGGGGTGCTATGGGCACCCTTGAATGCCGTGCTAACACGTGAGAGTCCTGTCCAGTGCCCGCTGCCCCAGCCCCTGGGACTTCGCACGGGCTCTGTGTGCCAGGACTCCCAGTGGTGCCTGAGCCAAAGGGGAGCACCGAGCCCTGCCCTGATGTGTGTCCTATACACCCGTGTCCCCCTGTGATGGCGCCAGGACAACACTGACAATAAGTACAAATAAAACAATTACAACACATGGGAGCAAAAGTTACTTGAAGCCAGGTGTGGTGGTTCATGCCTGCAGTCCCCAAACTCGGGGAGGCTGAGGCAGGACAGTCACCAGCTAAAGCTTAGCCTGGGCATTTTAGTAACATATCAAACCCTGTCTCAAAATAAAAAGGGCTGGAGATGCAGCTCAGCACGAGGGCCCTGGGTTCAATCCCCAGCATGGAGTGGGAGGAGACATAGTTCTATGAATGTGGTATCTCCCAAAATTATCATCCTGGAAAAAAAAAAAAAAATCTCACCCTGTTCTCACAGAGAGGTCACAGTGGTCATGTGAGGGGATGGAAACAAGGTGAGAACACTGGCCCTGTGACTCAGTGTGAGGTCCTCATAACTAGGTGGGGGGGTCCGTGCAAAAGGGTCAGCTCATCATCAACTGCCTGCCGTCTCTGGCACTAGGAATTGAGCTCAGGGCCTTCCCTCAGCTCTTTATTTGTGGGAAATCCTCCTGCTAAATCGCTAAATTGTCCAGGCTGGGCTCAAACTTGAGATCCTCCTGCTTCCACCTCCTGGAGGATTACAGGCCTCCGAGCCACAACACTCTAGTTCTTCTTTTAATGAGAAATTAATACAATCCTAGGATCCAAGCCAATATGTTCCCACCGACCATAGCCAAATTGCACGGGGCACCTCCAACCCAAAGCTCCGGGTTTGGGGAGCCCCGGCACCACCGTCCTGTAGGCTGCTGCGGTCTGGGAAGGACGACTTGTCTAGATTCACCGCCCTCTTGTCCCCTTGGGAGTGGGGTCTCGGGAGCCCCTCCCCCAGGGCGGCCGCCTAGCCCTGCTGAGCTGCGGTGAGGCTGAGCCCAGATTAGCGGGTGGGGAGCGAGACCCGACGCTGCGGGGGGAGGATTGGATTGGCAGAGGCGACGCCATGCCGCTGCAGGACGAGACCCTGCGCGAGGTGTGGGCCTCCGACAGGTCGGGACACCCGCCCTGCGCGCGACCTGGGGTCCCGCGGTCCTGGGGTCGGGTGGGACAGGGCGGCAAGACAGCCTGGTTCCTGTGCTCCCCTGCAGCGGGCATGAGGAGGGCGGCCCAAGCCCGGAGGCCCAGCGGCGCCCCAAGCAGGTAGGACCTCGGCTGGGGGGGGGGGGGCCCCGGGGGGGGGGGGGGGGGGACCCGAGAGGTCCGAGCGGGCGGCAGGCCGAGGCGGACGGGCCTCCGTCGACACCAGCCGTCCAGGCGTGGAGGTGCTTTGGGGGTGCAAGAGGGGATGTTTCAAGGCGCGGGGTCCACTGGGGCGGATGTGGCTCTCGGAAGCGGCAGAGGTGCAGAAAGGGGTCCTCCTGCCTCGGCCCTCCGGATAATCCGCTGCTATTTCTGAAGGCTCAAGGGATTAGAGGGCTCTGGACCGCCCTCGGGGCCCCCCTTTTCTTCTCCCCTCCCGACCCCCGTTCCCCCCACGCAGAAACCGAGGAAGAAGAGGACGGAGACCCCCGGGTCCCCGGACCCCGCGGGCCCCAAGCCGCGCAGACCCGGAGGTGGGCGGGGTCCCGGACGGGGTGGGGAGCTGAGGGCGCGGGGTCCGCGGGCGCCCGCTGAACGCGGTGTCCCGCGCAGCGCGGAGGGCGCGGCCGCCCGGCGACCCCGGCCCCGACCCGGGCCCGGACCCCGCCGTCTACACCAGGTTCCTCAGGGACCCCGAGGCCAAGAAGCGCGACCCCCGCGACACCTTCCTGGTGGCCCGGGCCCGGGACGCCGAGGATGGTGAGAGCGGGCCGAGGGGCGACCTAGAAAAGCGGGCGCAGCCGCTTGCTTCGGGTGGATGCCTGTGCACTTTGTCCCACTTTACAGACGGGAAGGCTGAGTCCCAGGAGGCTGAGGGTTTTGCCTTAAACTACAGTTAGGAGTAGAAGTAGCACACACAGGCCTGCTGGAACACAGCGCTACCAGGACGAGCAGAGTGGAGGGGTGGCGGGAAGGGAGAAAGAGGGGAGCCCGGCCGGGGAGGTAGAGGGGCAGGGCGGGGCCGCGGCGTGGGCGGGGCTGGGTGGAGCTCACGGGGTGGGGCCTGTTACTTGGGCGGGGTCTTTGGGGTGGCTCCTGCTGGTGGGCGGGGCCTGAGGGGAGGGTCCGGCCGAGAGCCAGTCCTGCAGGGAGGGTGAGACACCCAGAGGGCTTTGGGAGTCACCTTCCATCCTGCCTTTTTCCCAGAGGGTAGGATTCTGCCCCTGGTGCCCCCTGGGCTCCCAGAGAAGGGTCCTCAACCCCTCCACTAGGAGGAAGTTCTGTTTGCAGAGGAGGGGGAAGAAGATGACGACCGGGAGGAAGAGGAAGAAGATGAAGAAAAGAAAAAGCAAAGTCCCGTGCCTGCCAGGAAGCCCCCGAAGGACAAGGCTTCCGGGGACAAGAGGGACAGGAGGACCAAGGCCCCGGGCCCCAGGGGTGGGTGCTGAGGCCGGATGATCAGGGCCCACAGTGGGGTGGCCCAGGGCTGGGGTCGCAGACACAGAGGCCTAGCACGTGACTCTTGACCTGACCTGGACCTGACCCGACCCGAGGGCTCCCCCTCTGGGGCTCCCACCCCGGGGTCCTCACGTCCCACCCCACCCCACCGCTGGGCCGCCCTGCGGGAGGGGCTCTGGAAGGGAAGGTTAGAGGACTCTTGTTTTGTGGTTTTGGTTTAACTCAGTGTGAAATCATGTTACAATTTTTATAAAGATGTCAAATGATTCAGTAAAAAATCAATAGTTAACAGCAGCTTTGGCTGTCGCCTGGGTACCTCTCCTACAGAGGTGCTGGTCTGTGTCCTCACATCTGGAGCCTGGGGTCCCCAAGGAGAGCAGGAGTGGCCAGGGAGACTTCCTGGAGGAAAGGGTGGACTGGCAGGAGCCAGAGGCTCAGGTAGAAGCCTGGCATGGCATTCATTTACTCATTCATTCACTAATTGCCTTCTAAGCTCCTACCTTTGTCTGGCACTTTTGTAAGGAAGAGTACTGAGGACTGAACACAGGGCCTTCACACTGAGCTACATCCCCAGCCCTTTATTCATTTATCTTTTATTTTTATTTATTTATTTTTAAATCTGAGTCTCACTAAATTGCTAAATTGCCCAGGCTGGGTTTGAAATGACAATCCTGCCTCAGCCTCCCATAGCTGAGGACCCTGCCCACGTGGCTTGTGCACTACTTTTTGGATTTACAAGGAAGAAACACAAGCAAGAGGCAGGTGGGGGCCCTGTCAAGCCTCTGGCCTCCCTGGGGACCGGAGGAAGTACATCGGATCAGAAGACCCTATACAACCCAGTCATCCTTTTCTTTGTCCTCAACTCCCATTTCCAGGGGACCTGGGAAGCCCCAAGCCTCCACAGAAGGCTCTCCGCACTAAGAAGGAAGCTGGGGACAGGACTAGGGTGAAAAAGGCCAAGAAGAAAGGTGAGGCCACCCCAGGAGGACAGGGGGCTCGGGCTGCGGTGGGGTCATGACCCTTTCATACTGTGCATGAAGGGGCTTCGGAGGCTGAGAAGGATCTTGAGGGGAGCCCAGCGGGAGAGGAGAAGAGCCCAGCTGCCCTGTTCCTGGTCAGAGAATGTGGTTCTGCTGGGAAGGCTGGGAAGAAAAAAGGTGGGTAATGGGGCCTCTGGTGCTGTGATGTCTTGCCTGTGGGAACCAGGAGCGTTTGTAACAGGTGGCTTAGTGCAAGTTAGAAGCACAGGTTCAGGGCTAGCGAGACAGCTCAGTGCACTAAGCGCCTGCGTAGGCAAGCACAGGGTTTGATCCCAGGTACCACATGCTGTGCCAGCCCCATCCCTGGACTTGCTGAGTTGGTACCGAGTCAGGCATGCTGCACCCCTGTAATCCCAGCACTGGGGAGGCTGAAAACAAGAGGATCACTCCCAGTCTGAGCTGTGTAGTGAAACCCTGTACCAAATATATATTTTTAAAAAGCACAGGAGAGAGAGAGAGAGAGAGAGAGAGAGAGAGAGAGAGAGAGAGAGAGAGAGAGAAGCTGGGCATGTTGGTGCAAATACACCTGTGAGCCCAGCACTGGGGAGTTCGAGACCAGGCTGAGCTCCATAGTGATTTTGAGACCAGCCTGAACTATACCACAAGACCTTGGCTCAGAAAAGAAAAGAAATCTGTGATCATCCTGACTGCTATGTGGCCCCAGGCAGGGTGGCCCTCCTGCATTGTGGTCAGGGTCAAGCTCGGCTCAGCCAGGCAGCTAAGGAGTGCACAACCTCTTCCCCTATGCTAGGCCCACCCCGAGGCGCAGAAGAGGATACAAAGGAGGAAGAGGAGCACGAGGAGGAGGAGGGGGCGGCTGTGGCAACCAAGAACAGCAATCAAAAGGGCAAAGGGAAAGGAAAAGGCAAAAAGGTCGGCTGGTCAGGCATGTGGGGCCTCGGGGATGGGGCTTGGGGTCACTTTGTGCCAGAATCTGGTCCCCCCTCCTATAATACAAGGACACAAGGCACCGGGCACCACCAAGCTAGGACCAGTCCAGCCTGGGCCTCTGTCCACTGGCATTGGAGGTCACCCCCCTGCATCCTGTTGGCTCTGGCCAGAGATGTCCCCACAGGCTCGTCACTAAGAGAGACACATTTACAGGAGAAGGGATGTGGCACACACAGGCAGGCAGGCAGGGAGCGCCTCTGTCCACAGTTTCGGGGATACCAAGTGACACTGTATTTCTACCCTGCTGCTCCAAGCTCCCTACCTAGGGCCTCTCAGTCAATAGCAGAGGATTAACCTCTGGCTGCCCTGGGCCTCCAGGTTCCTGTCCAAGCTGGCCCATGTCCCTTACAGTTGGCCATTCTCTATGGGCAGAGGAGGTTGTTGAGTATTTTGAATACCACTGCTGCCCAAAACAGGACTTGGTCACCAACACACCTGAGCTGGCACAAGCAGGACAGGCGTCCATCATAGAGACCCCCACAAGGGCAGGAACTTGGTCTTAGCTTTCCGGGTTCATCAGTCAGTGCAGGAGCGATCAGGTCTTGGGAACTGACTCCCAGGAGCCAAGCTCACCATATGCTGACGTAGCAACCGAAAGGTCAGGTAATTACCTCTCGGGGAATCCAGCTGAACACAAGTCTTCGTTTTACTAGGTCCTTGAAATTCACCACCGTGCAAGTGTTTGGCTAAGCTCCGGCTTGCTTCGTATCACATTCCAGACATAGTCTTGGGTTTCCCAAGTTTCTTCTGGGGCAGGCTAGCGTGGAGCTGCATGGCCACCTGCCCCTAGGTGAAGGCCCGCGGTTGTACCTCACCTCCTGCATGGTGCAATCTGCCCTCAGAAGAGTACTCCCCCCTGGGCTCCTCAGTGCTCTCCTCAGTGCTCCCCTGTAATCCTCCAGTGCCCACGCCAGGCTGCCCGGCCACCTTCCTGTCCAAGAGGAGCAGAATCTGAGGACAGAGTGCAGGCCTGAGAATAGAGAGGGGTCACTGCAGGGTCACTACGCCACCCCAGGGCCCTACGGAATTCACTTACATTGCCGCTAACAAATTGCCCCAAAGCCCAGGGTCTGTAAATAGTCACTGTTAGTGACTCAGTTTCCTAGTCCAAACTCAGGAACAGCTTATCGGGATGGGTCCAGCTTGAGGTTGGCCACCTAAAGCTTGCCTGGAAATGGACAGCCCCTTCTGCCGCTGTTGTGACAGCTGGCTGGAGCCCTCTGCAGGTTCCTGGGGACCCCTGGACAAGGTGGCTGCCAGCATCTCCTGGAAGCCAGCAGAGAAGCCAGGCAGGAGCCACAGAGGCTTTTATGCCCCAACCTGGGAAATCGCCACCGCTCCTGCCATGTCCCTGCGGCAGCAAGACCGTGCTGTGGAAGGAAGTGACCCCAGGGGCTAAATGCTAGGGGCGCAGGTCCCTGGGGCCAGCTGGGAGGCTGGTTGTGCTGGCCACCCTGTCCTTGCCCTGTGTTGCTAAGACAAAGCCACCAATGCTGGGACAGTGCTTGCCCCGGCGAGGAACATGGCAGACCCAGCTTACCCCAAACCGTGACCTTCATGGGAGGGAAGGTTTCCTAAAGGCAGGAGCCAGATGGGATGGGGCAGGACTCAAAACCCAGCTCTACTGCTTGCTACTATGGGAACCCCAGAACTCACTTAAGACTGATTTGCTATCTGTACAATGAAACAGGGGCCCCGGAGGGCTCATGAGAGGGCTGAAAAAGCTAATATTGGGCCAGGGATTTAGCTCAGTGGCATAGCACCTGCCTGGCAAGTGCAAGGTCCTGAGTTCCATTCCTGGTACCCTCCCCCACAAAGCTAGTATGTAGAAAACTTTTAGAACACATTGGTGGGGTTTATATGAATATTTTTATTTTATTTTTTAATTTTTTATTTTTAAAATTTTATTTATTTATGTGGGGGGGCAGCTCAGCCCACCAGGGGGCGGGGCTGGCTGGCATGTGGTGCTGGGGGACTGAACCGCGGTCTGTGCTTTGCTAAGCTTGTTCTAAGTAGGTGCTTTAGACCACTGAGCCATCTCACCAGCCCCGAATATTTTTATTTTTGAGACAGTCTCACTATGTAGTTCAGGTTGGCCTTGAACTCACCATGGAACCCCAGGCTGGCCTTGAACTTTTGGGGACCATCCTGCCTCAGTCACCCCAGTGCTGGGATTATAAGTGTGCGCCGCCATCCCCTCCCCCCAGCATATATGAGCATTTTAAAATGTGTAAATTAAGTCAGGCCCCTCGGATCCACCCACACAAGATGCACTTCTCAGATGAAATGGGCACTAAAATGTTACAAAAGGGGCTGGGGAGATGGCTCAGTGGAATAAGTGCTTCCCTGGCAAGCGCAAGTGTCTGAGTTCAATCCCCAGTTCCGCAAAAAAATAAAAAGACCAGTGTGTGGGTCCTAAGCATGACTGGACGCTCACCTCACCGTGAGATGTGCCCCACTCAAACTATGTCACAAGGTTGGTGGGTTGACCCATCACGAAAAAGTAAAGACATGAAAATGTAACAAACGTGATGGACCAACTGGGGGGACGCTGGCGTTTGAACCCAGAGCCTGAGCTCTTAGTCACAAGGGAAACAAACTGATAATGAACCAGCAAGCCCCCCATCCTTGGGTAGGAGGGTCTGGGGGACAGGTGTCCCCATCTGGAAGGACCAGGGCCCCTCGGCTGCTGTTCTCCACACAGAGAGTGACTGTCCAGGTGGCCCTGCCCTGTGTGCAATCTGGGGACCCGCTGCCAAGGTGTGGAGCAGACCTGGCCTGATACCTCTACGTCTCCCAGAAGGAGGAGAGGCCAACGTCCCCACCCGTGGAGGTGGACGACCCCCGCGAGTTCGTGCTGCGCCCTGCCCCACAGGGCCGGACCGTGCGCTGCCGCCTCACGCGCGACAAGAGGGGCATGGACCGGGGCATGTACCCCTCCTACTTCCTGCACCTGGACGCCGAGAAGAAGGTGGGCGGCGGGTGCAGCGCGGGCCTGCTACTGGCCTTCATCGAGGGTCCGCCCTGACGCGCCCTCGGCCCCCTCCAGGTCTTCCTTCTGGCCGGCCGGAAGCGCAAGCGAAGCAAGACAGCCAATTACCTCATCTCCAGCGACCCCACCAACCTGTCCCGCGGTGGAGACAACTTCATGGGCAAGCTGAGGTGGGGCAGGGTGGTCACCCGTGTCCTCCTACGGGGCATGGTGCCTTCTGGTGGGACCCACACATCCGGTCTCACTTAGGTACAGTGGGCGGCAGTGGGGCCTCCTCTCTCTCTCTCTTTTTTTTTTTTTTTTTGAGACAAGGTCTCACTTTGTAGGCCCAGCTGGCCTTGAACTCACAATGATCTTCCTCCCTCGGCCTCCCACGTGCTGAGATTACAGGAGTGCTCCTCCACGCCCAACATTTACTTACTTAATTAAGAACACTCTTAGGGCCAATGGATGCATGGATGAGTCACGCTGTCCTAAGCATTTTCCAAATGTTAACCCATATAATCCTTTTACCAAACAAATGTGCACATTTTGCAAATGGAAAGCTGAGGTTCAGAGTTTAAGTACCTTGCCTAAGGTCACATAGCTAGGAAGAGATAGAGACGAGAGATTCGAGTCCTACCCAGTGTCCTTATAGCTTCAGCTTTCAGAAAAAAACCTCTCCAGGGTTGATTGTGGTAGTGCGCCTCTATAGTCCTACACTCCGGAGGCTTGAGGCTGGAGGATCCCACCATTTAGAGGCTGAGGCAGGAGGGTCAGCTCAAGTTGGAGGCCAGCCTGA